GGACGTGCTGAAGCTGAGCCCGAATTCAAATGTCTCCTTGCAGGTCCACAGTCAAGCCTCTCTCGGTTGCCGTGGCGGCCAGTGCACGAATCCTATTTTGTTCGAAGTCTCCTTACACGGAACAGAATTGATCTCGCTCTGTTTTCCTATCTTGCTCGTGCCGCCATGGCGACCGCAGAGAATATACCTTGTTTGGCTTCTTCTGCTACCTTAGTCTAGTTAATTCCCAGCACCGGACTGTGCACTTGGTACATTCCAAGACGTTTTCTGGGTTGCTCTGATGACACGATTAAGTTTCCAAAACAGGATCAGATCAATTAAAATACGAGATTCCTCTGAGCACCAACTAGAAGCTTAAATTAACTCGAAGGTATGAAGACCAAGATGATGTGGCCTTTAGTATGGTCGCGGTCTCCTTTCGTTGTACAGAAGTTGTTTGACGTCTTTTTCGCGACTCGATCATATTGTCAGAACGACCGAGAGGGGTGCACCTTGTCCGGACTTCATAGTATTCATGACAATTTCCATAGTCGGACCGTGTAGTGTTAAGAATGGCAAGGCTCACTGACGATGCCGACGAAGCGTCTGAAAATGTATCAAGTACACGTACGACTGGAAATTAGCATGTATACTATGGATTTGGAAAAAGATGTGTTCCTCTTGGTCGTCTCTGACTATACGACCAAATTACGAAAATGAGGTCAAACAAATTCTATAATATGTTTCATCCATAAGTAGGCTTTCGAGACTACCAATAGATTATTTATATATGAGGTTTATTTACTCTATTTCGCTTAAGATAATCGGAGGACTGACTGATAGTTGAATTTTTCCCATAATCATATGAGTAGAACTTACAGTCTTTTGGAATTTCACTTAGTCTCGCTTTCCAAAAGGTATTCTGCTGGTCTTATCAACACCTCCGGCGGAACCCGAACGATGACAGTGCAATCTGGTATAGTGGCTAACGTGTCGAGATTGTACGCTGCATTGTCATGGTTCGAGTCCCGTTGGGGGTTGCTAATAAGACCAGGCCGGAATAAGAATACGTTTAGGGAAAAGTCTACTCATATGATTGTGGGAAATATTTAACTACCAGTCAGTCCCTTGACCACCTTAAACGAAATATGGTGAATAAACTTTTAGAATATATTGTCTTCACCAGTTTGCTGCGTCCTGCATAAAAGTGCATCGAAAGGGACCTTCTCGGACTACATTTGGGCTGAAGCAAACAGTCTTCGACAACGATCTCTGTGATCGAGCTTGTCGAAAGGTTGTTGGTGTACTGTCAGCCCCTCTGTTTGAGAGATTTATCCGCCGCCTCAATTGCTCACACATGCATCAGCCTAACCTCCGATCTCCCGCTTTTTTGTCCCGTTGTCTGCAGGTGTTCTCGATGCTTCGCCTGGCTTTTCGACTCCCTCGTCCCCGACTCCATCTCTATCCTGCCCTCGATCACCTCGGCCTTGCAGACAACCGCGGCAGCCTCGATCTCGGTCACCGAGGCACTGGTGACCACTGCCACCCATTCGGGATCCGCGGCGACCGCCAGTCTCACCGCTGACGCTTCCCGGCGTCGACGTGCCCCACAAACTGATACCCTCGAAAGCACGAGTCACACAAACAACCACAACCACAACGATCACTGGGGGCAACGGAGGACGGGTAGAAGGTCGAGTGACCCAGACGCCTCAAATTGGCGGACGGCCGGCCGGTCGGGCCAGACTGTGCTAATCGAATTCATTACGCATCATATGCAACAATGCCGTCAGGAGATATGCTCTGAGGCAAGGTTAGCACATTTTGACCAGGTGAAGATCATCTTCATTGTCTGTATCATTGCAATTGTCTTAAAAGTCAATTGACTTTGGGATAGAATTGATGAAAAGGCAGTCTAGGTGAGAATAAGTAAGTTAAATTTGATTTTATTAATCAATCAAATTAAGTGAAAATAACTCAAATAAATTGTAAAAAAGGGTAAACTAATGACATCAAAACATCTAATCATATGCTTGTGGGAAAATTGGACTATCCCGTTAACCCAATCAAGCTGAATAACAATCTGCTATGTGAGGGTATCATTGATGAAGGTATTTTCTGGAAAGGCGAAATACGTCGGCGCAGACTTGGTGCAGAGCCGACCAGGCAAGATTGAATAGTGAAGGCCTGCTCCAAATGATTCATGTCGAGTCGCCAACTGGGTCGTGTAGATTGTTTGGCGAGTGCTGTTGTAGTCCGGAGGCTATTTTTATTGACCTTGCAATTGTCATAGCTCACTGGTACTAAGTGGGCAAATTATAAGAAAGTTTGCCTACTCCACTTTCCTTCCAGGGAGCTGTACCTGTGACAATGACAAGTGGATTGCCAACTATGACACTGATGTCAGACTGTGATTCCGACGGAAAGTGTGGTTAATAGTGAATGCGTGTGCGAGGAGGCCCGATGTGACCAATACATTATGAAAGAATGGAAATGATAAATGGTTTACTACTACTTTCTGTCCACTCTGATGGTTGTTTTGTTAAGCCTATTAAAAGCTGTCTAAAACGAAATAAACTTATTCTTACCTTCGATTAGAGCGTTTCGAACCAATCAGTAATGCTTGACTTGGAACTTAATCAACCCAGACGGTCTGTGGTGATTGAGTGACTGAAAATAGAATTTCCCGAAATGCCAATTGTGGGTCACTCGATGTCGAGGAAAAAGTGGTTTGACGTCGTCTCCACAACTTGGTCTTGTTGCAAGAGGCAAATAGATGAACGCATCGTGTCCAAAGTCATTTCTGCATGGTAGTTGTGATAACTGCCAGCGTCGGAACGTGGACTTGGTATATTCTTAAATATAGTATCATAAATTGCGAGCTCACTTCCATTTCGAGTGAAATTGTGTAATGAATGTATTCCAACTTCGATCCAACCAGAAGTCGACTGTGGATTCCTCTTTTGTTAATTGTTGATTAGCTTTACTGGAGCATTCTTGATTGTGAGAATGATAGTCTCTTTGCTCGGATGATGTCCGTCATGTAACGGACGAAATATTGGCACGTTTTAACCGTAATCAGAAGAGACATATTCAACAAGAATATGCGAAAAAAAATTCGGGTTTCGAAGAATCTCAGGAGATAAGATTGATGTGAAGACTTTCATTACGTATAGAAGTACATGATGAAGCGATTCGTAGGTCAATCTCACCAGAGGGCGTTGGCTGACACACATTGTACTGCAGCTGTTTGGCGTTAATA